CCCTTCTAGACAATCCCCCACAGGGATTTTGATGCAGAGGGAAGATATTATATTGGAATGGATGTTTTTATCATGTAAACTGAGAAAGAAATTAAAAACTTATGTGGAAAAGATCTGTGATTTGATTCTAAAAGGAAAATTAAAACTTTGTCAATTGACAGGAATGGACGCAGCAGAAATTGTAGTACCCTTAACTAATGAGGAGATTTCCTCTTTATGGAAAGATAATGAATACTGGCAAAAAGCCTTCAGTAACTTTTTTAGAGAGATTAATGCTTGTTATCCCAAAAGCAAGAGAATAGAATTCATAAAAAGAATTGATTGGGTCCTTCTTCACATTGTATGGCAAAAACCAATCTCTGTTGTCCCCACATTCTATATTGCTGCAAATAAATCAGGAAAGGCAAGGTATAAATCAGGAGACTTAAGTAAAGTCACTCAAAGCCCCTACAATTCTATACAAAAGGTAAAACTGTATGCCATTCTTATAGTACTAATGGACTTCATGGAACCCCTCAGTATAGTCACTGACTCTCAGTATACAGAGTTTTTTTGTTTTTGTTTTTTGTTTTTTTTTTTTTACATATTGAAACTGCTGGATTTATTCCTGATAACACAGAATTAACTTCACTATTTATACAATTACAGGAAATTATCAGAAATAGGGAACATCATATATATATATATATCACACATCAGATCCCATACAAGTCTACCAGGTCCTCTAGTACCAGGTAGTGATGAGAATGTCCAGTTATTAATAGGTAATGTGTTAGAAGCCTCAGAATTTCATAAGAAACATCATGTAAATAGCAAGGGTTTGAAGAAGGATTTCTCCATCACTTGGCGACAAGCCAAGGAAATTATTTTTTAAAATATACTACTTGTTTCTTCTATAACTAAACTCCTTTCCCTGCAGGAAGCAATCCAAAGGGTATACAGAGAAATGAAATTTGGCAGATGGATGTTTTCATTTTGCAGAATTTGGAAGATTAAAATATGTATACCATATCATTGACACCTATTCAGGATTTCAATGGTCAACTCCTATGAGTTCTGAAAAGGCTGACTCTGCGATTACACACCTATTAGAAGTTATGGCCATCATGGGAATACCTGTACAAATTAAGACTGACAATGCTCCAGCATATGTCTCAAATAAAATGAGACAGTTTTTTGTTTATTACAATATAAAGCATATTACAGGTATACCACATAATGCCACAGGCCAAGCAGTCATAGAAAGGTCTGATTGATCTTTAAAGGATATGCTGAATAAACAGAAAGAGGTAACAATGACTCCTAGAAATAGATCACATAATGCTTTATTAACCTTGAATTTTCTCAGTGCTGATGAGAAAGGAACAACAGCTGCAGAGAGACATTGAACAACAGAAAAAACTCCTGAGCTAAACCAACCAGTTTACTTCAAAGATGTGTTGAACTCAGAATGGAAACCAGGTTATTTCCTATGCTGGAAAAGGTGGTTTGCTTTTGTTTCTGCAGGAGAAGAAAAGCTATGGATATCAACAAAATTAATAAGAATTTGATTCAAACAGGAGAAACCCCTTGATGTGGAGAAGTAATAGCTCATCCACTGATATGAAAAACTCTACAAGTTGTAAAAAAAAAAAAAAACCCTCAACTAACAAGGGTCAGGGCAGGATTCTGTATTTTGTCTTTACAGGATAATAGAAATACCATCTCCCAGAAATCATAAGGCCTTGGATACCTAGGTGTCTACAGCAGAAGGAAAGAACCTATTGGAACTATAATACAGGGTAATATCTCATTGCCTAACATCTATGTCTCTTTAACTCTAGAAAAGTTATGGTCCCAATTCAAATATAAATCAAGCTGGCTTTGGAGTTGGAATGTGGCTTTCTCCTTCTCTAAACCCAAGCATGTTGCTAAAAGAAAAAGTTAAGAGATTCTGTCTCATATCAGAAGAGCTACCTGGTGTGGGACAGAAGAAAATCAATAATCTAGGGACCATTGTCATCAAGATTTCTATTTCTTTCCATGCTTGTCCTTGCTTTTGAAGAATCCTTTCTCTATCTAGAATAAATCCAAATTTTCCATTTTGATATTAATAATGTTCAAGTTTTTCCACAATAAAAAATAAGCCTTTCCAATAGCCATCTCTGAAGTCTCCAGAAGGAAGATAGGGCCCCACAACAATGACTATATCCAGTCCAGAATGATGCCATGGTACCCATGAACATTACTCAATGATCAACTTTGGACTGAAAACTCGCCAGGACAGTTCCAAGATGAGATGGTCCATCATACTACACTTCTAGCCAGAATCTCAGACAACATTACCCATTACTCTGAGACTGGCTGTAGAATCTACAGCTGGCCCTATTGAGACCTAACTATCTGAGATTTCTTACAGGACCCCACAGAGATACTGTCACCCCCTAAACAGCAGGAAGCGATTCTAAGAAAACAATACTTTCCTAAAGTATTTCCTGTGGGTTATGGATAAGGGTTATAAGTTTGGGGGTGGAACAATATAAATTAGACTCAATATTCTCCTTAAGGAAAAAAAAGGGGAATGGATAGGTATAGGATATTAAAATAGATTATTGTATATAGCAGTAAACTAATTTAGTAAAATATCAGCCTTATATAATTTGCAAGGTTATATGGTGATATTTTATTTGTATTGAAATGTGATTTTATTTGTATGTTAATAAATAAAGTTGCCTGGGGGTCAGAGCGAATAGCAAGCCATAGCAGAAGTCGGGCGGTGGTGGCACACACCTTTAATCCCAATCACATGACAGGCAGATCTCTGTGAGTTCAAGAATACAGCCAGCATGGAGACACACGCCTTTAATCTCAATACCAACCATAGAAGACCTGGAGGTCTGTATAGACAGGCAGTGACGAGGAGGTCATGTGGTTGGGTTTACAACCAATGAGAAGGCAGAACAGAAAGTCAATAAAAAGACAGACACACAGAAAGTAGGTCTCTTTCTGAGGGGATGGACAGCAGCAGCAATGAAGGATAAGAAAGGGTTTTTAGTCTCAGTTCTTAGCTACTGCTCTGAACTCTTGGGCTTTTAACTCTGCATTTGGCTCTGTGTTTCTTATTTAATAAGACTGTTACAGCTACATGATTATGGATTATTGTATATTGATACAAATGTAAACTATTTTATATTCCTATTTAAGGTAATTTATATATTGGTACAAACACAAAACTGTATTTGTTGTATTGTACATATATTTCTACTCCTATTTGAAATATCTTTACATTGATACAAATGTAAAATTATATTTATCATACTGTACGTATGTTTTACCCCTGTTTAAGGTATTTTTTATACTGGTACATATTTAGGATTGTTGCCATATTGCATGTTGTACTATACATTTCTACCTTTGTTTAAGACATTCTGTGCATTGTCACAATTTTGAGGTCATTGTCCTTTTACTATACATTTGTTTACAGACTTGTTTTTGTGACACCTTAGTCCTTAGGTTATTTAAGTAGAAAAGACTTACAGATTTATAGTCACCTATGCCTGTCATTTCTATATTTATGTTAGTTAGGTTGTCCAGATTTACAGATACATAGGTCAGATGGATAGATAATCTTCAAACACTTCATAGACCTAGAGAATATGGCATTAAAATAACTTAGAATTCTGCTGATGTGAGACATGATTGCTCCTGGCAGCACTGATCTGATCCTGAGAGAATTTTGGACTTCTAGACACTTCGTTTGGAAGTTTGTCTTCTTCTTGGTACATAATGGCCTACTGGGCAAAGAACTGCCCTTGCCTCAACTGCTGACAGTACGAATGCTGTCCTTCCTGGATGAGCAGGACACAAGAAAAACAACTACTGAACTCTGCCAAGACAGGGTAAAATGGTCTTTCAAAATTCCTGCTTCTGAAAATGGTCTGTCAGATATTCTAGGCCTGTAGCCAAATTGGATGCCCCATTAGTACTGAGAAACTTTAGGTGACTGTCTAGGCTGCTAACTGTCTCTATTCTAGAAAGATTTTCAAAAATTGCTTGTGTGCACTTCTCAGGATTGAAGACTAATAGCTGCAGCTACAATCTTCTCGTATCTTAGAACATATTAAGTACTAGATTCATATTCTTCAGAATAGGACAGCTTTTGGAATAATCTCTGTAACATGCCATTTACCTATGTTCTGGACATCTCTGGATTTTAGTATGTGTCTCTTTTTTGATGTTGTTCTTGTTGGTTGTAGTTCAATTTTGCTTAGGTTACCCTTTATTTCTCCTGGACAACACTTAATAATCATTCCTATTGTATATAGTTTTATGTTAGGTTAGAACTTACTTATTTAGACAAAAGGGAGAGCTGTAGTGGGTAGCTGTTCTAGCTAAGACCTTGAAGCACTGCCCCAGTGAGGAAGTAGGTAACTGTTACACCTGCCTATGACCTTGAAGTACATGCCCCAGGGGCATGGCCACTAGGCACCCTTAAGACCTGAGATGCATGTACACAGCTCTCTTTTCACTTTGTTGTAGGATTTGGATGCTGGGATGATCTCAGGCAGAAGAACAGTGTGGGACCATCTCTCACCCTTCCAGGATCCTGCAATAATTCCTCTGTTCTGTATGGTGAGTTTCTTTCTCTAATAAATTCCTTTGCCCTGTAAGCAGACTCTGTGGACTGCTAGTGATATTTCACACATTAACAAACTATATCCAAGTAAAAGCACACAAAAAACCAAACCTGTGGAGTCCATTTTTTTTATATGTTGTTCAACTGCTCTTGAACATGAGGCCTGCCTTGGAGTGGTTACCATACCCAGTGTCAATCCATTAGCAAAACCTGATTTTTCCTTCTCCCAGCAGATATAAATGAAAGTTCAGTTGTTAACCTTTAACCTAGTGACTAGGTTTTCATTCATTCATGTTTTTAAAAAAAACATAACAAAAGAAAATATAAGATAAAACAAAATTTATTACATCAAATTTGGACAAGACAAACCAACAAAAGGAAAGGGCCCAAGAAAAGGCACAAAAATCGGAGACCCACTTGTTCACACACTTGGGAATCCCACAAAAACATTAAACTGAAAACCATAATATAAGCCCAAACCAGGACCAGGTGCAGACCCATGCAGGCCTTGTGTATGTTGCCTCTGTCTCTGTGAATTCTTGTGAGCCTAGCTCAGTTGATTGAGAGGACATTGTTTTCTTAGTGTTCTCCATCCCCTCTGGCTCTTGCACTCTTTCTGCCTCCTCTTTCATGGGGTTCCCTGAGCTCTGAAGGGAAGGATTTGATGGAGACATCCCATTTAGGGCTGAGTGTTCAAAGGTCTCCCACTCTGCATAATGTCAGGTTCTGGGCCTCTGTGTTTGTTCCCATCTGCTGCAGGAGGAGTTATTATTTAATGAGTCACACTGAGTAGGGCCATTGCTGTAGTATGGATCTTAAATATCACCAAAGGCCCGCTGTTAAAAATTCCTGCTTCCTAGGTTAGGTGATGAAACCTCTAAGAGGCAGAGCACTCTGACGTTCTCTTAAGTCACTGGGAGTAGAACTGTGAAGGGGGCTGTGAACCTTGTTTCTATTCTGTATCTTTGCCTGCTGGTTCATGATGTGCTATCCACAGTCCCACAATGATGTGGTACTTCACCAGTGGGCCAAATAACAAATCACAGGTTGGAGCCTCCAGAATTTTAAGTTAAAACAAATCTTTCTTTATAGATATTTTGTTACAATTGAAAGTTTACACATCCAGATGACCTGAAGTTTAGGCCCAAAGACCAACCGGGAGTCGACATACATACACATACACACACACACACACACACACACACACACTGAAAGAGAGAGATATACCTATATGTATAGTGTATGTATAGTGTTATGGACTGAACTGGATGCCTCTACAGTTGACATGTTAACATTATTAACCCCCCCCCCCCAAATCTCTGGAGGTTATATATTTGGAGACCAGGCTTTTAAAGAGGGAATTCAATATAATGCAGCCTTGGGCTGGACTCTTATCTGCTATAACTGGTGTTCTCACCAGAAAAGAATGCTAAGAAAGAAGCATGTATGTGTGCAGGTGAAAGCCCATGCAAGGACACAGAAGAAGATGGGATTTGTAAGGCAAGGGGAGCTGGCTTAGAAGAGATCATTTTTACTGACACGTTTGATCTTGGGCTTATGGCATCCACAACTATAAGAAGATTAATTTTAATTCCCTATGACACCAGTGTGTGGTATTTGGTTATGGCAAACCTAGAAAACTAATTCAGGGACCACATTTTCCAAACTAAGAATTAGAGCATGGGGCCTCACACGCACAAATGATTCATACACACAGGGACTGAAATATCTTTGATTAGAAACCCAGCCATGCTTATTACATTGCTACTCATTACTACATAGTCTTACTTCCAAACACAATTTTGCCTGATCTTAGGAAAATGCCTCCACTTTATAACATCTAAGAAAAGAAGGTCCAGTACTGTAGTTGGAAATCTACCAACCCCAGCTCAGAAACTAACGCAATACTGACATGCATCCTCTTCGGGTTACTTAAAAAAAACAAACAAAATGTAATTTAAAGAGGAAGAAGCAGAGAAACCAGACTTCTTTCAGCCTCAACATTTAACTAAATTATTGTAATGTCACACGGTTCTATTTTTAGGAAAAGAAGCAAGCTAAGAATTCTTAGCTTCTATGAAGACCAGGCCTTCAAGAGAAGTGGCACAGGATAGCTTTCACAGGCTCTGAGGCCAACTAGCTGTAAAATTAGAAGAGACCTACAATGGAGAGAAAAGGATTTTTTTAAAACTAAATGTTATTCAAGACCTAAGCCCAAAAAGGAATTGCAAGTTGGCCATGGTTGTCTATACAGCGCATACTGGACAAAATGCCAGCTTTTCTTCCTCAAAGCTAGAATCAAAAAGAAGAAAAAATTGAAGCTCTTGCTTATTAATCACCCTCCAAAAATGTCAACATATATACGTTTAAAAGCCTGCAGGGGATCCAGAGAAAAATGTTAACGCATGTAGAATGCTCATGAAATGTAAGCCAGGTGTGAATTGTTTTGTTTTTCTTCAGAAGAGCAGACTCACAGGACTTCCGTTATTACCCCGTGGTTCAGTTCTCACCACAGGTTAGAGAAATGCAGCTGAGTAAAAAGGAAAACTAAACTCTCTCTGGATGTTTCTGGACCAAATACAAATATTCAACTCTGGGGGTAAGATGACAAAATAGGACCAAATATGAAATTGCCCAATTCACAATAGGCAGTGAAGAAATAAGCACAGCTAGAGAAAATTAAATTACATCCTGTTCTCAAATAAATGAAGCAGGGAGGTCTCGTGCTACATCTCTGAAAGACCCTCAAACCAGGTGTTTCTAAAATCATCTTTCCCAAAGCCAATTCTGAAACACAAGAAGGAGGTGACAAAAAGTTGGGTGAAAAGCCTCCCCAGTTCAGAGGGAAGAAGCTAACAAGAATCGGTAGGTGGCCAGAGGAAGTGAAGAAGGATGTCTCCCTGGAGGAGAACTCACCCAGCAGGACTACGGGAATGCGTGAATTCCTGGAGAAGGCTATCTCCACAAACATATGGGGCTTCCTGTCCCACAAAGCCAGACTTTCTTAACCGGGAAAGCCAAGAAGCTCGCTGAGATTAGCTGGATCCAAGATACAAACTCTACGTGAATCAAAATTTAAATTCTCAGCCTTCCAGTAGATTAAAACTGCGGATCCCGGAAGTGGAGTGGAGAAGAACTCGGTGAGAGACAGCTTCGGAGCGGGACCCCAGGCACCAAGTCCTCTTTCGCCGCTGATAAGGGGCCTTGTGCAGGCTGCTACAAGATGGTGCTCTCATCTGCGGAATGGGAACCAGTATCAGACCAATGCTTGAGGCTAAAACTAGCCGATTTAAGACAGCTCCATAGAAAATGCCAGGCTCTTGGCAAGGACCACATACGTAGACTTCCCTTTCTTTTCTCCTGCTGGCCAGGGAGAAGTCGAGGATCCACCAGTGAAGTTCCTTTATGCAGTGGATGGTGACTAACACAGAGACTCACAACTGTAGAAATATAATAAATAAGTACATGTAGAATGTACAACCATAAACAGTGCATCACATCACACCCCTCCCCTACAAAGTTCAGGGACCTTTGTGGAACAGGGAACCAGAAAGACTGTAAGAGCCAGAGGTAGAGAAGGACCAGAGCAAAATGATAACTTCTGGAAATGAGAGGACCACTGCCCTCACGAAGTCACGGCAGCTGTGGTTACCTGCCTAAACCCTGCCAGCTCAAGCCAGTTAATGTGCTAGCACGGAGCAGGAAGGGAGGGGTTCATGAGCCCCAACACTCAAAAGGTAGCATCTGATAAGTGTAAGGAATATGAAGCCTGGCTCTAAGATTTTTGGATCTGCACCAGGTTGGATGGATTATAGGGAGGAAGCACACCAAAAATGAACCAGAGTTGGAATGAAGAGCATCTCTTTACATCTATCTGAACGTATTCATGTTAGTGTGTCCATGAGACATTCAGGAGTAAATGTGGGACTAAAAATAGCAGAAAAGTAAGGGGGAAAAAAGATATTTTTGTGAAACAAAGCACAGGGGGTGGTATTTGCTAGAAAGAAGAATGGGCAAGGAAAATGCTGGGAAGAAAGATAACGGTTGGGATACGCTGGTGTGGAGGCCCAGCATGGGGCATGGGGAGGGCTGAGGAAGAAGGAGGAAAGGAGACATGGAGTAAACACAGGAACTCCCCTCCAGCCATGTGGCTGAATGCTGGCTACTGCAGACAAAGGGAGCAAAAGTCAAGGAGGGTTCTGGAGAGAAGAGGAAAGGTTAAAGTTGTTAAAGGGGCAGCTGGTGAACAAGGAGGAAAAACAAGTAAACAATGGAGGCAGATTTCCATCAATTTGTAGTGGCACCAGTTTGCCTGGAAAGGCAATTATTTCTCGCCATGATAGTCTGAGTTGAGCTGGGAAATCCTCAATTGTGGTTTAAAAAAAACGAAGAAGAAAACAAAAACATCACAACGGAGTTAAGCAGCTCAAGGGAAAATGTTCCCATTGTCTTTGGGATCCAGGCTCCACATGGTATGAATTTGGTCTCCAAGAGTCCCATAGTTACTGAAAAATGGATGACTCAAGTGACCAGAGGCCTCAGTGATGGTGAGCTGCCTGGGAAGAGAAGGCAGAGGGTTGAGAAAGCTGAAAGAAAGGTGGAGCAAGAGAGGCGGGGGAACCCACACCTCGGCAGCAGCTTCTACTTTGGACTCTCCTCTGGCCAAGCTGGCATCGGCTCTGGACAGTTCTCTTGCAGGTCAGGGCTGGGTGGTAATGCCCGGAGAAGCAGTTCTAATGGGTGCAGATGGATAGCTACCCCAGCATCCTCTCCTCCCCATGGTGAGCTAACTCGGGGATGTTCTCTCCTGTCTCCCAGAGTTCCCCAGCTCTCTGTCTCCCAGGATGAATTCCAGTTGCCCACAATGAGAACTTGCTCGGCATTCTACCATTCAGTAGCTTAGCTCCCTTGGTTGTCTCAATACTCCACCCACTCCTAGCAGGATTAATGTCCACATAAACTTCCTGTATTTAAAAGTCTGTTTCTTAGGGGACTTATCCAAAATATAGGTCCTGTGGCTGTGGTTTTTTAGAAGTAAATTTGTTTGGAGCTGGGGTTTTGGATCTTAAATATCCCCCAGAAGTTCGTGCTTCCAAGGTCTGTTTGGTCTCCAAAGCATCAAGGTTCTGCAGTGGGATCCTTAAGCAGTCACTGGATCATGGTGGCTTTGGCCTTGTGAACAGATCAACCTATCTATGGATTCATTCCTTAATGGGTTATTGGGAGGCGCGAAAAACTTTGGGAGATGGGGCCTAATTGGAGGAAGTACATCATCCGGGATGTGTCTTCAATGGGTCTCTTTGCAATCCCTACCTCTGCTTTCAGGCCTCCAGGAAGTGGTTAGTTTTCCTCAGAAACACACTATGGTCATGGAGCTCTGCCTCACCAAGAGCCTCAGCAACCAGACAGAACTGTGGACTGGAGCCAGGGGCCAAAGCAACCCTTTCTTCCAAATAGTTTTTCTTGAGTAATATATATACACACATATGTATTTATAAATACTTAATGTCGAGTGTTCGGTCACATTTGTGTAAAGATGAGCAACTCAGGGCTGTGAAGGGACTGGAGTGATAAAATGAAGTAGAAACAAATGCTGTTGGCTCTGAGGTAAAGAAGCATCAGGGACATGTTTGGGTTGTCTACATGGATGCCCAGTTGGCCTTAAATGTCACAGATGTTGACCTAGAGATGGAAACCATGAACCAAATCCCTGAGGCTTTCCACTATGAGAGTGATCAGAGGTTCAGTAGACAGCAACAATCTTTTAGTGGGTAGGATCAATTAGGTCAGCAACATGACTCAAAACCAAGAGGATTTTCTCACTGGAGAAATGGAGCTGCGTCCAGGCACAGGGAAGAGATTGAGGGCAATCCTGATTCCCCTTCCTGATTCGTTGCATGCAAGAAAAGGAGTAGCTGCCATTCAAATAGATGTAAGCAAGAAAACAGCATCCCTGTCGGAGACCCAAAGATCTGCAGAAGGCTTATGCAAAGTGCTCACAATGAAAAGGACAGGAAGTTCCTGATAGCCAATCAGAGGGACTCAAAGAAGGGCTTGAACTGGGGGAAAACAACACCCAGACACTGTGTATTCTGAGCAAGCCTCTGGGTGACAGTCTCCTCGAGCAGCAGCGCCTTATGGGGAAGATGACTGCCTCTGAGACAGTTCTGGCATGAAGCAGGAAACTCAGGGCCCTGCTTACTCAGCATGTGTGACTGGACCCTGAGAGAATGAGCTCATGGGCTGCCTCTAGACTGGGACTCTGCATCAGAGCCAGGGACTCTCTCGGAGGCAAGGACAACTTTTTTTCTTTTTCTTTTTCAAGACAGGGTTTCTCTGGGTAGCCCTGGCTGTTCCGGAACTGGCTCTGACTTAGAGATCCACCTGCCTTTGCCTCCTGAATGCTGGGATTAAAGGTGTCTACCACCACCGCCCAGTTACAACTTTGTTCTTTATATCAGGTACTACTTAAAAATTTTAAAAACTGACATACAATATATAAATGTGTGAAACTATTCAAGATAAGGAACTAATAATAGTTATGCTCACATCCTGGTGTTCCTGTGTTTTTAAAAATATCTAGGCTTCTTTTTTCATTTCTAACTTCTAATTCCTACCCAAGTAAACAGCACTGGCATGCAACAGCCTTCATAAAGATTGCTATTATCTGTCTGGGTTGTTTTCAGAGAGGAACCTGCTTGGTTGGTAGCGGCTTCTGACGTGGATTCAGCCTATGCTCTCTGAGGCGTACGAGGTTAATGTGGAACATTTTGAACTAATAATCACCAGCTCCGATGGAGACAGGAGTCCTGAGAAGATGACCACACAGACTCACCCTCAGGAACAAAGCCTTCCTGCTAACAAACTCTGGTGCCCATAGACGGTGCCCGTCCCCTCTGAAGGTCAAAGGGAGCCTCTGTACTCAGACCCCCACTTCTTCCTGGGATGCCCACATTCAGAGACGGATGCACACTGAGGTGTCCACACCACTCTGAGTCAGCCCCAAGGCTTCCTCTCTTCTCAGCTGGGCCTGGCAGGACTGAGTCTCCCTCACTTAATCCTGGGTCCTTCTCTTCCTTTTCACAGACACCAGTCCCCCAAATACTAAATGTTGTGATTTGAATGTGCACCCCAAATTTACATGTTGGAACATAGTCCCCCGAATATGTTGATGGTATTTGGAAATGTAGAATTTTAAAAGTGAGGCCCCAATGATGACACCAGAGGATTTGCAAGAAAAGGCACAAGGACCTGAGCTTGTCCTGTCTTGCTCTGTCTCTCCACAGGATACCCTATACCAGCTCATGAAGCACAATGGGGCTTTCTTTCATCAGATACTAGCAGGTGACAGCACCAGGCTGCTGACCCTCCCTACATCCAGAATTCAATTATTTGTGTATTTTTCTAGTCTCAAGTATTTTGGTAGAATGACAGATAATGGACTAAGACATTAATAAACACCCTACATTTGATCTCCTTTACGTGGCCCTTGAATGAGTGGGAGCTTGATCTGGTGCTATAGTTTATAGGAAACTGAATTATCTGCTAGGTATCAGTGACAGGGAAAGAGCTTGCCCATTCATGTAGAGTTAGACCTCTATTAGTAGCTCATATTTTTCCAGGGAAAGAAATAGCTCACAGAATAGCAACATCGAGTATGAGAAGGATTTAGAGGATAAGATCCAGGTGACAGAGGTTCTGTTCTTGTCTTGACATTCTGGAGAGAAATAGCTGTATCCTCACAGGCCTAGATCCATCCAGCTAAGTGAGTCATCGCTCTGGTGACTTCAGCTGCCCAGGTAACTCTGGCTGTCATTTTGGAGCCCATGACACCTTCTAGCATCCTGGCAGAGGGCACACTCTTTTTCTGAAAACAGAACCATTGTCTCAAATAGAACCATTTTGGTGAAATATTTAAGAGATGTTTTAAGTGATTAAAAAAAAAAACCCACTCTTAGGGTTGTCTCTTACAGGCAAATACAGATAGTCTACAACCTTTGAGCAAAGTGTATTATAAATGTTGATAGTTCAAAATCCACTATCTCGGGGAAACAAGAGTATAAGCAGAGGTCCCCCATTCAGTAATACATCCTGAAAGCCCACCGTGTGCCCATCACCTTGTGGACATCAGAGTTACCAGTTTTTCTTCTTTGGTGGCTACTGTCTTGCACACGGGAAGTCTCCTGGGCTGAGCACTAAAGCCTATTCTACCCTGTGTTGTTCCAGAGCTTCTACATCCTTGTGAGGCAGCTGCTTTCCTAGGAGAAAAAGATGAAACTTCTTAGACCTCTGGATGTCAGAAATGTAGTCCTCTTCTCACTCCTGCAAAAACTAGTGACCGTCTATAGATGCTTCTAGAAGCTCGCTAAGTTGAAAGACGTGTCTAGTACATTTATTGCTACACAAGATAAAAAGGGCAACAAAAATATCCTTTCTCAAGTTACGTTGGGCCACGTTAAGAGGTAGTGACTAAGGTTCCCATGCACAGCAAGGTTGAGAAAGTGTAAGTTTTAATAGGTGTCTTTCCTGAATAAGGTACTAGCTACCTCCATGTATTGTCGTGCCTTTCATACCCCTAACAAGTGAAAACAGAACAGTATGAATATCCTTAATGCTACTGAGCTGAACACTTAGAAATAGTTAAAAAGAGGGAGTCTAACTCATGTGATTTTGACCACCATTTTTCTTTTTCTTAAAGATGACAACAGGAAGCTCCCTCTGAACGCCTTCCACTACTGGCATCTGATAGACTACCTTCCTGTTAGAGCTCAGGACAGGATAGCCATCCTGGTTTCCCCAGAGCTCAATGCGATCATCAGGGAATGCTGGGAAATCAAGACAATTGATCACCCACCCTAAGAATTATTTGGAAATGCTGTTATACGTCTGTCTATGGTTTGAATATGAAGTGTCTGCCGTAGGTTCGTGCACTTGGGAACTACTTGCCAGCTGAGCAGCTTTGGGAAATGACTGGGAACTCAGGGTGCTGACCCAGTCAGTGGATTAACCCCTTGACAGATCTGTAATACTGTGACATGATTAGGAGATGATGAAAAGTAGAAGGTGGGGTCTGGTTAGAGAAATAGATTCCTAGGGACACACCTAGAAAGATGTGCCTTATCTCCTCTCTGTGCTCTGTCTGCCAAGAGGCAATTTGCTTTTCCCCACTTCATGCTTACCATTGTGGTCCTCAGGCTCAGCTCAGGACCTCAGCAGTAGAGTCAACCACTGTGGGCTGAAACCACTAGGAACTTTGAGCCAAGAAAAATCTTTCCTTCTGGACCAGAGGTTTTCAACCTTCCTAGTGCTGTGACCCTTCAATACAGTTCCTCATGCTGTAGTGACCCCTAAACATAAAATTATTTTCGTTGCTACTCCGTTGTTGTTTCAACTCTGGCACAGTGGCTATTTACTACTGCTATTTCAGCCAACAATTGCAACTCCACAGTTACCAGCCTGTTTCTCTAGCAGTGGCCCCGCCACTCAGACTGCAGCCTGGTGGGAATTCTCTCTCCACAGGGACCAACCCTGTCCGTGCCACTAAAGGTAGCTTTAACTAAATAGAAATTTAGTTAAATCATTCTATTTATAAATAAGACTTGAGATTCAAAGGCTAGGGTGAAAACCTGGTAGCTCAGAGAGGCTGAGTAGCAAATAGTTAATCTTCTCTCCTTGCTGGCATCTCCCAAAGAGACTCATCCTTCCTCTCCATTGCTACAGGCCACAAGAATATGAAATAGAGATTCAGCTGCATATGATAAAGCTATAACTTAAAGGATCAAGGAATCCTTCTAGAGGAAAAGTCAATTATCAAAGAACATTTGATGTTATTCAGCTCTTAATATACCAGCTGTTTCCTACTATCAATTTCTTGTGCACCCATAGCTCCTAGGCCATAATAGCAACAGCATAAGCCTCTCAGACCTACTGCTGATTTGTACTAGGTAACCTGTCTCATAGGCCTAGGAGATGGGCAGATGTATAAATGCATAGCTTTATTTCTTGTGCAAATGAAACTCAGACCACCCCTTTCTCTCACAGGACTAGTGGCATCCCAGAGCTATTGACTCAGAACAAAAGGATTTTTTTTTTTTTTTTTTTTTTTGCATAACTAGGTAGAGTGAAGACTGGGGCAGAATTCCTGACTCCGGGTGAGGGTTAGAATGGCTCACTGGAGGAGAAGGCAGCAAGGAAAAGTCTTTGCAGATTGTGGGTGGATTGGAATCAGGTCAAGAGAGGAGAAGAGGAAGGAAAGTTGGGGTGAAGGAATAGAGGGCGAAGATGAGATTGATAGCAGAAGAGCTTAGTTAGGCCTATGAGATGACAGGAAGAGAAGGGACAGAGAGGAGCTACATATAAGAATAGAAATAAAGTTGTGTAGTTAGAATTTAACCTCAGAGGAATAAAGTAAATGGACAAAAGAACCCAATGTATTTAGATTCTTTTCCCTAAGATTACCCCACGCCGGCCATAGCATCTTCCCCAGGATGCTGGGAGAAATCTTCTCAGGGCACGCCCCTGGAAAATTTTGATATTCCATTCAACAAAAAAAGCTGAGCCACTTCAAATCCTTCCCTACTACTTCCAGTGCATATCTCTCTCTCTCTCTCTCTCTCTCTCTCTCTCTCTCTCTCTCTCTCTCTCCCAGATGCCCTTTGATGCTCTGATTACTTTCTGTCAACTAGTCACTAACTCAGCCTCCTGACCTAAAGTTAATTTTATTTGGTTAATGCAAATGTAAACTCAGGGTTCACAGTGTGATTGAATATCTCCCAACACCCCCTAACTGTAGTTCTGCTACTGTTAGGAGTCATAATGTAAATATCTGTGTTTTCTCATGGTCTCAGGTGACCCCTGTGAAAGGGTAGTACATCATCAAAGGCATCATGACCCACAAGTTGAGAAATGCTGTTCTAGATGGTCAGTCTAGACAATGAATTGAAGCCTGACTTAATGCAGTTGGTAAATTCGGTGATGCTCACAAGTGAAAACCAAAGGTGTTGTGAAATAATCCTTCTGTACACTGTGAATATGCATTACTTTCATTGGCTTATAAAAATCTGATAGGCCAGTAGTCAGGCAGGAAATATAGATGGGACAGCCAAAAATGGAAGACCCTGGGAAGAAGAAGGCAGAGTCAGTAGAGAGGCTAGCCAGCCACCAAGGAAGCAAGACATATAGAAAATGAGGTAACAAGACATGAGCCATATGGCAAAGCATAGATAAAGAATATGGGTTAATTTAATTGTAATAGTTAGGTAATAACAAGCCTGAGCTATCGGCCAAATATTTATAAGAAATATTAAATCTCTGAGTCAGTTATGTGGCAGCAGGCAGTTGGGACAGGAAAACTCTACCTACTCAAAGGCAATGGCTTGTGGTGATATTGTATTCCTAAATATATTATGTACCCTAATAAATTTATCTGGAGTCAGAAAACAGAACAGCCACTAGACAGACATAGAGGCCAGAAAATGGTGGCACACACACCTTTAATCCTAGCATTCTTGAGGCAGAGATCCATCTGGATCTCTGTAAGTTGAAAGTCACACTGGAAACAGCCAGACATGGGTGACACATGCCTTAAATCCTAGGAAGTGATGGCAGGAAACAGAAAGGTATATAAGGCATGAGGATGAGGAACTATAGACTGGTTAAGCTTTTAGGCTTTTGAGCAGCAGTTCAACTGAGATCCATTCATATGAGGACTCAGAGGCTTCCAGTCTGAGGAAACAAGATCAGCTGAGAACTTGGCAAGGTGAGGTTGGACGTGGCTTGTTCTGCTTCTCTGATCTTCCAGTACTCATCCCAATAACTGGCACTGAGGTTTTTAATAAGACCTTTTAAGATTTGTGTTACAATGGCTGGGGTGTAGCAGCTGGCTTTTTCTCCACCTGCCCATGCCTCTCCATTCCCGTTGGTCTCTGGAAGTACATCCATCAAGGAGGCTTGGATGCCGTGGATCCGTCATTGCTTCTTTGTAAGAGTAATGAGAGTGCACAAGAAGGATGCATGCAAGCAGAACATTGTATACATAATAAATAAATAAATCGTTTAAAAAAAGACCTTATTCATAGACCTTAGGAAGTATGGGAGAGTATAGATTGTGATGCAGGTTTCATACACATCAACAACATGATCATTCACTAGGCTTGCACATCACAGCTCCTGAAGCTTTGTAAATAGTAATGTTTACTTTATACTACCTAGCTCCTGCTCCTTCCTATGATATTTGAATAACTTCTAAATATATATTTATTACTTCTAAAAAAAAAGGAGACTCATAACTTCTCTAGATCAACTGATAAATTATCTGTTTACCTGACTAAGAATCTGAAAGAAAACCAACATCAGAAACTGGTATCAAATCTCAATAAACTAACCTGACAGTCGTGGTGCACGCCTTTAATCCCAGCACTGAAGAGGCAGAGACAGGCAGATCTCTGTGACTTAGAGACCAGCCTGGTCCACACAGTGAGTTCCAGGACAGCCAAAGCTACACAAAGAGATTCTGTCTCAAAAGAAAAAAATCTCAAGAAAACCCACTTATTTCTATAGGTAACTAACTATAACTAATACAATGATTAACATACTTGGAAGTCAAAAAATAAATGAAACTAGATGACAATGTCCTCATCTGGCTCAAAGTTAACCCCTACTTCATTTTAGCAAGTGCTCCATGAATTACAACATTACATCATTATGTCAAATGCCCGTCTGCGACCTTCCTATGCACTCCATATCCACAAATTCATTGAGAATACACAGAAGTAAATTGCCTCTATTCTGAGTTATGTAGGCTTGCTTTTATATTCCTTTTCATTCCATATGTAGTATAGTATAGTGACTATATTAATATACAGTATTTTACGTTGTACTAGGCATCACATGCAACCTAGAGATCATTTAAAATATATTAGGTTGTGTAGGTTATAGGCACATACTGTGCCATTTTATAAAAAGAACTTGAATGTGTAGATTTTGGTACCCACAGGAACTAAAATCTGAAAATAAAGAAGTACTGTATCCAGCAAGAGTGTCCCTAAATTATCCTTTATATTCGTAAATACAGGATATTTAACTCAGTTTAGTTTTGTTGTGACTCATAGACCCATAGCCTTTTGGTTTTGAAATAAGAGGAGATGGGTGCATGTATTCATTTCTGAGCAAACACATGTCGTCTCAAAGGGAGCTGGACTCACTACAGGGACCACAAGCCGGCCATCCACATCCGGGACCCAGACCCATGCTTTTTATCACAGTAGGCATTTGATAAATGCTTCCCAGCGAAGAATTCACCTGCTTCTTTCCTCCACTGGTGTCCAGCCGTAGACGATGTCATAGGTGTTTATATGTTCATGTGGCTAACTACCAAGAGTAGGCTAAAACAGGGAACATGCAGACAGATTAAAAAGAAATATTGGATTGGTATATCCTGCTCTTCCTGCCAAAAAGGAAGTCCTCTTGTGGCTGTGGGTCCCAAGAGCCCAGAGGAAACTCTGAAAATGGTCTCAACATGAATCATTGTGTTAGGAGCACTGATCCCTACCAATCTAGCAATCTACTTTTCCAAAAATCTGCTCTAAGACTGAAGAGATGGCTCTGCACTTAGGAGTGCTACTGCAAAGGGCCTGCTTTGGTTCCCACCACCCACATGGTGGCTCACAGCCACCTGTAACTCCGGTTACAGAGCAGCGCCCTCTTCTGACTTCCACAGGCCCCTCCACAAACTCATGGAGCACACACACATAAAAATAGTAAGGAAATCTTTTTCAAAAGCCTGCCACCTTAAGTCACTCTACTGCTTCCCAAGCCGGTCAGAGTTGTAAGACTCTGTTACCCACAGCCCAGTCCCACACAGATTGCAATCTCTGTAGGTCACAGCAAGGAAAGGTCATTGGCTTTTTCCCCGAGAAGATACAGAACCAGAAAAGGGAGGAATCATAAATGAATAGCTATGTCCAACATGCCTAACAGGGAGCCGGGTAAAGAAGAGGTAATGTAACATACTTAACCAATTACAGTTTTGCGCAACTGGAGTCTTCCTGTTGACCAGAGTGACTTGTCAAAGGTCAGGCCTTAATTCAGGAAAGGACAGGCAGAGGTGCACAGGCAGGACTGGACAGAAAGGGTCGGATGGATTGGATGGGGAAGCCAGCAAGGCTAGTCTGCTAAGACTCTCGCCAGCCTCTAGGTGCAGCTCCCCTTCCCCTGAGGCTTAGACAAACCTTTCTGGAATGAGAGTCATACTCTACCACTGGACAAGACACAGGGTTTCTTTGGACCCAGCTCCAAGAGAGGGAAAGGCCAGGGGAGGGCTTTGGGAAAAGGGGGAGGGGCCTGGTTTCTATGGGGAAGAAGAGTTCACATTTCTGGCTTGCTTTGGGTAAAGATGAAAAAGTGAGAGATGGAAGAGCAGAAGGTCAAAGACATATTTTCTCTTAAAGCTATAAAGACATTTTCTGAGCTCCAACATGGTGGAGGCCATCTTTCTGCATGATGGTTTTTGAGGAAATGCACTTTGGAGAGAGTGAGCAATAAGGTCATATGGGTCACAGACCCTGTCACACGTGAACCTTCGTCTCTAAACTCTGAAAAATTAACATCTAGACCTATAGCAGACAGTCACTACTTTGAGTGGGTGACATTTTACGTAGAAAGTCCATATTTACGTAGAAAGCAGCCATTAGCCAGAAGCACACAAGCACCTGTCCACTGAAATGATCCTCATTTTATTTACACTCAGATTTGTGTAAATTACACTCACACCATTTCTGCTATTGTCTAAGCAGCCTCATTTTAAAGAGATGGTGATAAATCTATTGGATGACCTGTGTCTTGGGTTTGCTAAGAAGTATTTGGTCACAGCTCATGTTTTAAAAAGAATAAGGTTTAATTCAGTTTAGTGTAACACCTACCCACAGGACAAAATAAGGGAGAACAAGGGTCTTGTAAGTAATAGGCTACTAATAAGACAGATCACACCAGTGGACACTGTAGCCTGAGCCTCTGGTTCACTCTAAGATGTTGCTCAGCTCCATTGTTAACACGGCAGCACGAGCATGTTTTTCTAATGGAAGACTTTTATTTATTATTTATTCATTAAAATATCATGCATGCACACACACTCTTTCATGGTTGTCTATGCTACATTAATGTAAAGTTTCTTGTAGAACTGGTTTTCTTTGGAGGGGGTGGCATTTCAGAACACGTCTCATTCCATTTCATCATACAATGAGATTAATACTACCTATGAGAAAATATTCTCTACACCGGCCAAAACAAATTGGTTTAAACTTCAAAAGAAAAGTGACATATTTTTCATTTTTTGCTTCTAGATTTAATAAAGATGAAAAGCGGGCTTTACAGGCAGACACTGCTTTCCTAAGGGGGAGGGCAGTCTTTTCATTGCAAAGACCCATAGAAAGCCGCTGGCACTTTGTAAAACTGTGGCTAGGCTAGGGCAGGATTAGTTTTCTGCATTATAGGTGCTTAAAAGCACCTTGTTCAGGTGTGTGTGTGTGTGTGTGTGTGTGTGTGTGTGTGTGTGTGTTGTCTGAGAGAATCTTATTCTTAAATTTGTTTTCCTTATGTTCATAACAGCTTTTGTATATGTTGCTGGGAAAATACACATTAATATCCCAAATTATGCATGCATTATACGTTATATAAATCAGTGGTTCTCAACATGTGGGTCACTACCCCTTTAGGCTCAAAGGGTCCTTTCACAGGGATCACCTAAGAACATCAGAAAACACAGATATTTATGATTAATCAAATATTATATATTCTGATTCATAACAGTAGCAAAATTATAAAGTAGCAATGAAAATAATTTTATGGTTGGAGGTCACTACACCATGAAGAACTGTATTAAAGGGTCACAGTGTTAGGAAGGTTGAGAACCACTGGTATAAACTAACTATGACTCTTGTCCATTACACCATTACTTGTCAGAGGACTCTAACCTTCCCAAGCTAGCATGAGATAATAAATGTCCTAAAGCACATTCTGGTCAATATTGTCCCAAATAACATTGATAATATTTAGAAAGTTTTCTATTGGATGAATGAGAGGCTACTTTTAGTTTTAAACAGTTCATCATTTCTGGGGTGACATGTTTAGGCATGTAAGTAGGTCAAGCATGATGGGATAAA